TCTCGCGGCGGATCTCGGCCGAGAGAGAGAGAGAGAGAGAGAGAGAGAGAGAGAGAGAGAGAGAGAGAATGACGTTTCGGCGAGTTTCGTGGCGTTTTATGGGCAAGATCGAACCGGGAGCCTAATGCCCGACGTGTACGCACGACGACCGCCTCTGCTCTCTGCGGCTCGAAGCGTTTCTGAATGAATATAACGCGAGCAAGTTCCCAGGGGCGACAATCGGTCGTCATAGTTACCGGATTTGTCCGCGTTGTCCGTGCGGGAAAGCGTACCTTCAATCTGCATTGTTAAGATCGCGGACGCGCGAACGTCAATAAGTGCCGCCACTTACGAATGCATTTCGCGATGGTGAGTGCTAACACGTGCGCGCACATACATCCGCACACGCACAGGCCTCCTTCTATATGTACATGCGCCCAGAGCGCGGGGGGGAAGAGGGGAGGGGGGGGGTTAGAGGCGATCGCGAGCGCGAGCCGAATAGGCGCGCGCGTGCCTGAGTGCGTGGAGGAACGTGTTGCGGGTTCACGCCGCGGAACCATTCGGAGAATGTGCTCGGGTAGAACGAGGCGGACAGGATTCGGACGCCATTACCGCGGACATTGTCCGGCGGAAATCATTAAACTAAAATCTAACTACGGGCTAATATAGCAAACCCGGCGCCTATTCTGAAAGCTTTCATAGCCAGCCGCAATTCGCTTCGGTTTAGGCCGCAAGTACGGGACAAAGCGCAACTCATTGCCGGAATTCCCACGGACTTCGTGGGGTCCGCACGATGATGACACCGCGGACGAAGACGACGCGGTAACGAGTTTCGGCGGCCGCGCGCTACCGCGGCAGGGTCGAATCTCCTCGACGCGTTTGACAAACGACGGCGATGTGTCACGACGTGTCCGAGCGACGTGTCCGCGCCGCGCGACTTCCCGCGGACGCCGCGGACGCGTTCTTTCTCTCCTGCGGCCGCGAGAGAGAGAGAGAGAGAGACACGCGCGCGCACACGCACCTTCTCGTTGTCGCGGCGCGAGCCTCAGCGTGCCGCGTATAACCGTAGATCGAAAACCTACCAAGCCACTGTGACCCAGACGCTATTCGAAGTGTCGCCTACAATTACAAGCCCCGACGGCGACGCGTTAATGTTTAGGGTCACGGCACAATCGGTTTGGATACACGAAAACTCAAACGCCGCTGCGCAAACATCGTCCCATGGACGATTCCGCGGTGAATAGCGGCCGCGTTAAGCCTGCCAGACTCGCGTTTTCATTTTCGAGCTGGTCGATGGATGCCTTACTGCGGCGCGTTTACGGGCGAAAAAGTCGGTGGGATGGCCGACGATGACAGTGAGACATTGTCCGAAGCGCAGCGGGGGTGAAAGTGATCGCGCGAGGCGAGACGAGCGGAAGTAAGCCGCGCTCGTACGCGTACGTGTAACCGGGAACGAGTTTAAATAACAATTTCGCGGGAGAAAATGAGCCATCAAAAACAATGCGACAGTTAAAAGGTTTAATTCGAATGGTCAAAGGCGGAGGCACGGAGAGAGAGAGAGAGAGAGAGAGACAGAGAGACAGAGAGACAGAGAGAGAGAGAGAGAGAGAGAGAGAGAGAGAGAGAGAGAGAGAGAGAGAGAGACCCTATTTGACTGCAGTCCAGGTCGACGGGAGAGCGAGAGGGCAGACACGAGACGAGGCTCAGCGGAGAGACGAGGACGCAGGGCCGCGAAGAGGAGGAGGGTCGGAGCGGGAGAAAAAGAGGGTAGTAGCGGTCGCGCGGAGCGAAGGGGAGCGCCAAGTTGAACCGGTACCTTTCAGCCGACGTAGTCGACCTCTCCGTGCAAACGTTAGTACGCCTGTACTTGTATGCCGGCGAATTATTATGGTGAAACGAGTACGAAAGCAGCCCCAATATCCTCCGCGTCGCGTCACGTCGCGTCGCGTAGCGTCGCGTCGCGTCGCGTCGGCGGTGCGCGGCTACGAATCCACCGCCGCCTCCGCCGCCGCCTCCGCCACCGCCGCCGCCGCCGCCGCCGCCGCCGCCGCCGTCGCCGCCACCGCCACCGCGTACGCTTGCGAGAGTGTGTTCGCGCGCGAGGGTGTGCTCGTGCGTACATGTGCTTCTCGTCGGTGGTATATCATTGAGTATGAAGTTACTGGTCGGGAGCGGGAATGCTAATACCGCGGCTGTCACCGGCAGCAGCGGGTTCACCGATTCGTCCGTCTGTTTGTCCGTGTCCCGCGCCGGATTTAGACTTTTCCGTTGCCGAGCCGCGCGACGAACGACAGTTCGCCGGCGGCGCGAGGAGAGGAGATGCTGAGCCTGTAAGAAGTTTACCGCGATGCGATGCTGGTCGCCGCTGGTGGTCGCGAGAACGCGCGCGAAATTTTTCATCTTCGCGACGTCGCGACATCCGAGCGACAAGGCGCGCATCGCGACGCGACGGCTATTTCGTATATTTTATCGATCGTGCTTGTCCTCGGGGGCGCGCTGAATCTCTCGGACGCGGGCGCGATGTATTTTCAGGGAAAAGTCCGTATCGTCGCGCGTTCGAGGTTTCCTTTGCAAATTTCGCGTCTGAAATGAGGATAAAAAGCAGGCCGTAGCCGCGAGCGCGCGCGCTCGTTAATCCACGGACGGAGAATTTTCTGCGTCTGATAGAGATAGATGTTTGAGTCCGCGAGATCATTTATCACCGGACCGACAGCGTGAATGACTGTTAAACGGTAAGCCGTGTTTAAGGTTTCCCGATTGCACCTGTTTACGAGAACGCGCATTCGATAATCGAGATCGAATATGTCAGTCGTTGGTGGTTCTAGTCGGATCCCTCGCACATGTACATTACAACTTGATGGAGTAGGATGGGAGAAAAGACTGACTCTAGGGAGCCGGTGCCATTGATCTGGTCGATCTATGGAAGCTGCACGCTCGCAAATCAACCACCACATTCGGCGCGCGTGTATTCGCATCCCGTGTCGTATACGTGCGTGCCCGCAACTGCGCGCGCGACGGTCGCTCCTTGTCATTACACTGCCGCTTCGGCATGCACACGCGCGCGCGAGTCGAGAAGTAAGTCGATATTCAAATCCGGGATTGAATAAACGTCCCCCCTCTTGCCCGCCCCTTCCGACCAGCGTTTCTTTTTATGAAGGGAATATTTCGCGAGAGTGACGCGGGGCGAATCCGCGTGGTAGCGCGTTCGGCGCGCCGAAGATAAAACCGCCGCCGCGAGTTTCGAGACGATCGCGCAGCCCTCGAGACGGTAGACCGCCGAGTCCTTGCCGGAGTCATAATTCTCACCTTGCTTTACAAGCGTAATTCCAGCCGTATGCATTCAGACATCGAAGATCGATTTGGTGGCCATGACATAACTCACTAAACAACAAAACGAACGCGCAACGCGGCAAGCGGTGGTTGGCAAAAAAAACAAAAGCAAAAGCCAGAAAAAATGAAGCGAGAGAGGAAGGAAGAATCAGATGGTGGGAAGGAGGGGGGGAGGCAGGGGCTGGGAGACTGAACTGGTGCGAAAAGAAGCAGCAAGTAAGAGAGAGACGAGGACGTTTCGAGCGTAGACGTAGCGAGCGACGGAAAGAGATGCGGAATCCGCGGCGGAGCGAGAGCGAGAGAGAGAGAGAGAGAGAGAGAGAGAGAGAGAGAGAGAGAGAGAGAGAGAGAGAGAGAGAGAAGGAGAGAGAGAAGGAGAGAGAGAGAGAGAGAGAGAGTGAGCGAGGGGAGGAACACCACGCGCGAGTAGCGAAAGCTGCGCAAAAAAACCGCAACGCGAAATCCGGACGCCCCGGAAAAAAGGGATAAAAAGCCAGAAAAAAATAGTGGAACGCTCAACCCCGCCGGCGCACCCCCCTCGTCCGAGCGAGCGAGCGAGCGAGCGGCGGCCCGATGGGGGGAAACGAAATCGACAGGGCGTCCACCTATCGGTCCGATGCCACGTACACAATCCCGCGCGTACATGTAGCATCCTCAACACATGTCGGCGGATTGCTTTGTCTACGTGCATTACGATACACCAGAACGGACGCCCATGAGCGCACACATTCGCGCTCTCGCTCGCTCGCTCGCCCACCCGCCCGCCCGCCCGCCCGCCTGTCTGCCCGCTCGCTCGCTCGCTCGCTCGCGCGCGCGCGCGCGTATGCTCTCCCGTGCGGTGGCCGATCCGTGGTGCTCGTGTGTTGACGGCGCGTGTGTACGCCGACATAACTAAACAAGCAACAAGTGACCTTAAAATCTACGAATAAAAATACCGGCCACTGATCGGATATCGTGCGCAGCTGCGGCCAAGGCGCGAAGGGGTGAAACTGGGTGAGCGGTGCGTTCCGTGCAGCGCGAGCCAAGGAAGCTCGCCGAGCAATAGCACAAGCCGAGAACGCAAACATCGCGATTGCATTGAGAAAAACACAGAACGTGTGTACGTAATGCGGCAAGGCGCAACGTGGAAGGAAGTTTCGTCGATTAAAAGTGTATGCGCGGGCGAGCGAGACAGAGAGAGAGAGAGAGAGAGAGAGAGAGAGAGGGAGGGAGGGGGGGGTGAAGAGGAGGCGAAAGAAAGAGAGGAAACGGGCGAGCGAACGGTACTATTGCACACCGATTATAGCCGGTTCGCTTCACTCGTTCTCTTCTTTTGCCAAATACAGACGCGATTATTACAGCAGACTAACGAGCGCGCGCTCTGCCCGGCTCGATTTCCTCGTTAATGCACGCTAAATGCCGCGCGCGGAAAAGCCCACCCGACGCGCCTCGACTTTTCCCCCGATGCGGATTTCCCGTTCTTGTCGTAATTGATGCGTGAAAGAGAGAGAGAGACAGAGAGAGAGAGAGAGAGAGAGGTGCGAAGCAATATAATATAAATAATTTCATCGTATTAGGCCGCGTTATTTCTCGCGATCGGTGCGGAATAAGAGAACGGGGTGTCCGTTAGCTGATGCCAAACCGACCACAGGGCATGTATACATAGCGCGAAGCGTTGCGATACTTGCGCGATATTTTGTTCGTGTAAAGCGATGCGTTTTAATGAAATCGACCTCTTCCAGGCTGAGGTATTTATATTCGATATCGGATCTAATTACTGTAATCGCGATCGTACGTTAACTCGATTTCACAACCGCGCGCGCGGTTTTCTTAAAAAGAAAATTATAATTACCAGCGCGCACACATCGCGCCTTCGGTCATTTGTATCTGTATAATTATCGGTGCAGCGCTGCGGCAAAGGGGCAGGGGATGAGCGAAACCGCTTGGAAGTGGAAAGAGGGGGAGAGAGAGAGAGAGAATGAGAGAGAAAGGGGGGAGGGGCGAGAGAGGGGGAGAAGGATAACGCGCGATTGCGATGGTTTTCGCGAAGAGGGCGTCGAGATTCTTTCCACGGCACTAGCATAGTAAGAAGCAACAAGTGACCTTAAAAACCGCGGGGATAAAAATACTGGCGGTTGATCGAGAGTTTTGCACGCCGCCGCTGAGCCAGCGGGTAGATTGGGGTATGATTGGGTAAGTGGGCTTTTCGAGGTTGGAGTAAACGGGCTCGGGGTGGGAGCGCAAAAAGTGGTGTAACCCGCCGAGATGCAGGCCTAAATCGAGCAGATCGCGTCCCGCGGTTTCTCGTCCCGCGACGAGAGGAACGATTTTCCCCCCTCGCCCGGGCGTGTCAACCCTCTGGCGAAAATGTGTGTCAGCCGTGATCGATCGTCCTCGGATTACGGGGATCGGCTCGATCGGGATCGCGTGACGCGCTCCTCGCGTTTAAAGCTCTCTTTATTTTCAATATTAATTTCGATGTTTGACATGCATAATACGCGGCGCGCGAGAGATCCGCGCTGCCTTTATACCGGCTATATTCTCCGCATAATTCGAAAATACAAGAAAAAGCTTTCGGCTTTTAATCACAGATATTGCTACGGACTCTTCATTATTTGTGTCGCTTTGCATTAAGCTCCATAAATATATTCGCGCAAACGCAGGATTGCCGAGAACCGTGCAGACAAGCGATCCTGTCTTATGGGCACGCTGTCAACTTCTTTCCATAAATCATCCGCTTTCTCCGCGCACCGGGCACGGGCGCGCCCGAAAAAAAATTGTCGAGAGTGACGGACGCTCGAGTCGCGCTCGCGATCTGTCGAGCCGACGTGCCGGATTTATGAAAGGCAAGCGAGAACCACGGAGTGCCCGTACAGTGCACGATCATTAGAGCAAAGGTGGTAGAAACCAACCCCTTTTCTCGTTAGTTCCGCCGTCGGCCGCCTAAGCAAGAGCTCGCCACTGTCCAGCAACCCTTTCACTACCACAGACCGCGCTCAACCCCTTAGTACGCACGTATAGGGGTCCACAGACTCGCGGCGATTTTTCTTCGGGGCACCAACACAGGCGACGGCCGTTTCACCACCACCGGCGCGCACCGCCACCCTATCGGGACGCGATACAAGCGCGCGGCGAGTCGGTGAGGTTGCGCGTGTCCTCGTTTCGCGTATCGAAAGGGTAGCGAGCCTCTCTTTTGCCGGCGATCGCGCATGACCGAGCTCGCTCTCGCCGTCTTTCCCGCACGCCGCTTCCGTCCTGCCGGAGAGTGACCGACTAAATTATAGGTCCGTTCGCTTGTTTATTCACGCTTAATTACGCGAAAACTTGCTAATGCTCCGGATGTGTGTTGCGGCTGAAAAAAAAAAGAGGGAGGAACAGGCGGACCGGGATCGATGCGGGATGCCGAGAGTCTCGCGTCGACGATCCGAATCGACGCGTCTCTCCGCGTCTCTCTTGCGCTTGCTGAAGACACCCTTCCTCCGGGGAGATCCTCCGGCTCCATTTCTTTCGTTTGTTTAACCGCAAACGGAAACCCCTGCCGGAGGGAGGAAAGGTAAGCTTGAGGATCGCCCTGGCCTCGCGTTGGCGTTTATTTAAATCTGCCCGGCGTCCAAGGTGAGTGATCGAGATATCTCGCCGATACACCGAACGCACACTATCGCCTTGGAAATACCGATGTTACACCTCGTGGTATCCGCGCGGTTCACACTGCCGCGCGCGCTCGCGCGCGCACTCACCGTCAGTGTGATAAAACTCGGTCGCTCACTCGCACCCGCTGCTCGCCGCATCTAACCCTCCTTCTCCGTGTACACCTTCAGTCAGAGGGTAAGAGCGCATGGTCAGCTTGCAGCGCAAGCTCCTCTCTCACTCTCTCTCTCTCTCTCTCTCTCTCTCTCTCTCTCTCTCTCTCTCTTTCTCTCCCTCGGCTTTTCCCTCCTCCCTCGGCCCCGATCTCTCTCTCTCTCTCTCTCTCTCTCTCTCTCTCTCTCTCTCTCTCTCTCTCTCTCTCTCTCTTTCTCACCGTTTCTCTCCCTCCCTCCCTCTCTCTTTCGCTGTCGCACGCTCTTTCTCTCTCGCTTTCTCTCTCCCCCTCGTACCCCCGCTGTCTCCCCCGGTTCCGTCTGCGTCGCGCTCACCCGTCCGGCGCGGCCGTGCTTTTCTCTCTTTCACCCTCTCCACGGCCTCCGCACAAGCCCCGTCTTCCTCTTTTGATCGCTGTCCAGCGCGTCTCGGACGAGTTCGGTGGCGCTCGTATCGTTCGCCAACGAACATCCCCGTCGCACTCACGCCGGCAGAGAGCGGCGCGCCGTCCTTTTCCCTCGCGCGCGCCCGACTCACCCCTTTCCGACCCCGGCCGGCCTGTACATCCACCAACGACGATTCCGTCGCAAGCTTACACGATCGAGATCTTCCTCGTCGCACCGCCGATTCCGCCGCTGCTATCGTCTTCCTCCGGACTCATACAGGACCGCTCGCGGGGTCATCGTCGCCCCGGGTAAGGCTACCCTTGCGCGCGGGTGCCTCCCCGATTGAAATTCTACTTTCGCTGAAGCCTCCGCGCGACGATTCCTTGTCTCAACGAAATCGAAGCGTCCTCGTCGCACGTTCAAGCTTCAAGCAGCGGCTGCCTCTATTTTTACCTTGAATTTTCGATTCCATGAATTTGTCGTGCGTACGTGTCTGAAAAGTGCGCATATTTCGAAAGATACATCCAGCACCGAGAGACGCGACGTGCCGAAGAACGCGCTTTCCTTACCTTCGCTGAAACATCGTCGTGCCGATCGACGAGGGGCCTCCGAGGAGTTCGATCGCTCGTGGCATCGATCGGCTGGCGCGGAGTCTGGCGCGGAAGTCACCCCCACGCGGGGCTGATTCGGCGTGAAAAACGCGCGCGCGATCGCGCGGTCCTTAAATAAGTCACAAGCGGGGGCACGGTGGGCAGCATAGCGTAGCGTTAATCGACGTAAACGGCGTCTCGCATAAATCTTCAATTTTACCGCTCCAGGCAGTCGATTTCTACGTATCCAGCGCGCCAAGGGGCGGTCCTGCTCCCGTAGCACTTTTCTCCGTCTCTCCCTCTCTCTCTCTCTCTCTCTCTCTCTCTCTCTCTCTCTCTCCCTCTCCCTCCCTCCCTCCTCCCTCCTCCCTGTTTCTCTCTCTCTCTCACTCGGCCTCGGCGCGAGCCGTCGCGTCGTCTCTCACACCAACCCCCTTCAACCCTTCGTCGCGCGTCCGCGCGCGCCCGCGCGCCGGTCCTTCTCTCCGGCTAGCGCGCGGATCTTCTTTCTCGTTCGTTTCCCACCGCCTGGCCGATCTCTCGTCCGTCCGCCGTCCTCGTCGCTCGTGTGCGCGCCTAGGAGAGCAATTGGGAGCTTGCGATTGCGCACGATAGAGGCGCCACCGTACGGGGCAAACGGCCAAGAGGGGCCACCGGCTTGCTCCGCCGCTGGCCGGCGCGCGTAGTTCTCTCCCTTCGGCTTACAGCATCCGCCGGAGCTTCTCCTCTCTCCGCCTACGCGGTGCGAGTGTGCCGTGTGCGCCAGTGCGCCCGCAAGCCCGAAAGTTCGCGCTCCGCCACGCAGCCCAAGCTCTCTCTACCCGCGCGCTGATCGGCCACGTTCGTCAGGCCGGGAGCCCCCACGCAAAAAGAGACACCGGGGCCGCGCGCGCGAGCCGAGAAAAGGACGAGAAGGAACGATTTGTTTAAAGTATATATATATATATATATATATATATATATATATATTTCGAAGAAAAACCAAAACGGGAACACGTCTCTCTTTCGTTCGCTTTCGTTTTCTTTTTTCCAAAAATAAGAAGCACGGAAAGGAAACTCGCGAGGAAGAGGGAAAGGTGCCGGGAGAGACTTTTTTTTAACGCGGCTCCGACGTTGTAGATACTGTGATGTTAAGAGCTCGCGCGGAAGCTCGCAGTGAGAGAGAATCGTCCAGGAGGATCGTCCTGCCGGCTTCGAGTGCGCCGATATTGTGAACGTCTTCTCTCTTACCCGTCCTCCGAACTCGTCTACCTGGGATCGGCGCGACAAACAGGTGAGTTCACGAGAACCCCGAACCCCGCGCGGACCACCCGGTTTTTCCACCTAACCTCTTTCGTCGTCCCGCTCGTCTCTCTCGTCCATCCGCGACAGTCCGCGAGTGAGTTGTCCGCGCTTTCACGAGTGTACGATCCTCCTCGCTCGATCTCGCGAGCGAGCGAGCGAGCGAGAGAATCGCCAAGCGACCGGCGCTTGCGACAGCTACGAGACTCCAGCGGCCTGTGATTATCTCATTAACGGCATTACGCGAATCGTTCTGTAAGGGAAGCAACGTCGGGACTTGGACGCGCTCAGTACAGAATCCATATCTCTCCTCGCACGAGCGGACCTTTCGATTTACTGACAAGCTCTGTTTTAACGATACACGAGGCACATGGACGAATTTTCGCGGCACGAACATAAGCTGGAGCGCGTAACAACTTTGACGTTTGCCCTTTGATACGGCACGCGGATTCAGCGCGCGATCTCTCTCTCCTTCTCCCTCTCTCTCTCTCTCTCTCTCTCTCTCTCTCTCTCTCTCTCTCTCTCTCTCTCTCTCTCTCTCTCTCTCACTCTTTCTCACTCTTTCTCACTCTCTCTCTCTCTCCTCTCTCTCTCTCTCTCTCTCTCTCTCTCTCTCTCTCTCTCTCTCTCTCTCTCTCTCTCTCTCTCTCTCTTTGAATGAGCGGAGCACATACGAGCACACACTTGTACGTATAATTAAGCAGTTTTATGGTAGAGCACTTGCTTTCCTTGAATAGAGAGGCACGTTGCGAGCGTGACTTTGAAAAATACAGGAAAAGAAACGACGTATCTCTCGCTAACGGACGAAGCACTTATCTCCCTCACCTCTTACGATGTCCGTAACGCACCGACTGTCTCCCCTTAGGGTACTCATGCCTCGCGCGAAGGAAGAATTCTCGGTCGTGTGGTGATGCCAACGGTGACGGGTGTGATGTGTTTTTGTGCTGACTGTGCCAACGTCAAGAATAATTCGTATAAAATGGACTCGCGTTTTAAAACGACGCGCATTAACACCGCAGTGTTTACAAGATCTGTATCTTGGCGTTTCTAAAGTACGACGAGATGATGGTGCATATAATTACCTGCTTAACGGAACAAAGTGAAACCCGTCGTTTAATCACAGTATAAAAGGCATCGCGCCACGCAGTCGCGATAATTGCAAACGAAATTGTGTATCGCTTCGTTAGAAAGAAGGAGAAAGGGAGATAGTGTCGCGCACGTCTCGGTGTATTCTTGTACAGCGGATGTAGTTGAATTTCGATCGGATGTACTTAAACTTCAATCGCGATCGGCGCGTTAAACCGTTAATAAATCTCGCGCTCTCTGTGTGAAATCTCATTGGCAACTGAAAAAAAATCCAGTGGTAAAAATGTGTGATGTATTACACGCGCGCGCGCGCGCGCGCGTGTCGTGCGCGTTCGAAAACACACTTTTTATAAAAATTTCTATCCAAATTATACCATACGCTCCTGAAATGAAAGCCTTCGACCGCGAGCAACAACTTTGTGTAACGCGAAGAATTTCGTTGTAAGAAGACCGCGTCTCGTCGGACTTGTGTGTAACTGAAAGAATTGCGTCAATGTCGTGCTGGTAAAGAACGTAAACATACAACGGTGAATAGAAAGAAGATCGGGTTCGTTACGGGTTCAAGACGTAAGAAAAAAATACGTAATCACAAGTTTCGCGCAATGGACACGGCGAGCTGTAAAGAAAGGTACCCCCGAGGTACCGCAGTGTAACATCGAGGTATTAAAGAGTCAGAGGAAACTTCAAACGCGCGACGATTCGACAGGACGGATTGCGAGCGTCTTCGTCGGCAGTAGAATACGGCCGGCTCCTGTCAGCCGGAAAAGCGCAAACGTCAAACATTGTTCCGACGGCAGCCGTGTAACCCGCAGGATTCGGACAGAGCGGCTCTGTTCTTAAATCTACGATATCAATTGGACTGAATCCGTTCCAAAGCGGCAATGTAAATCGAAACGTACAAATAACTCGTGTTTAACACGGCAACATCAATGACCGTAGCGAGTGCCGATTCTCCGAGACATTAAGAGCTCGGCCGAGAGACAATTTGCAACCGCACGTTCCTCACTCATCAGTTTAGCCACTTTTATAACGATTCGAAAGACTATCTCGACGAGACAACGCGCGACGTTCACTGGGAATTGCACCGTCCGTTGTTACGTTAGCGAACGGACAAGTACTCGGTGCGGCATGGAACTTATAAAAAGACGTAAGAATTCGCGCGACCGGTGTCGGAAAGTGACGTTTCATCTTGCTTCTCTCTCTCTCTCTCTCTCTTTCGGTAATCGCGCGCTCGCAGATTCGTACACGAACACTACGCTTCGCACGCCAGACGAGCCTCGGGGATATCCGTTTCTTCTGGCGTACACTTGAAATCGCCTGTCGGCGCTACGATGCGATGAGACAACGGTCGGTTACGGCAGCAATAACGTACCCGGCTGGCACTTTTAGGATCTTGTTTGTACTGTCGTTGGTGCAGAACTGAAGTCACGAGAAGGTGCGAGCAAGTCCGGCGGAGAGTCCAGCGGAACCAGTTCCACCGGTTCCCGGGCCGACACGCTCGAAGGAGACAGACAATCGAGAAAAAAAGAACTGGCAAAAAAAAAAAACGTTGAATTTGGAGCGGAAGGGTTGCAGTAAAGCGCGCGGCGCAACTGTTTTGCTGTCGGAATGCCGCGTGCAGTTAGCGGTTCGATCGATGGTCGCGTATAAACAGCTAATAATCAAACGAATCGTGTCATAAACAATCCCCACGGTGGGGGCGGTAGGGTGGTGGTAAAAGTATAAATGAGTGTCGATCGGTAGTGGGGTGTGCATCCAGGGGTGGGGGTGGCGGCTTCGAAAAGCGCAGAAAAGCTTGACCCGCATAAAAATTTGTTTCGATACATCCGCCATCCCCGCGACTCTGCGCTGCGGGGGCGGCTTCGTGGCACGAACCAAGCCTGTTCGTCGTACATTTGTGAACGTCGGCCTGCTACGACGTCCGTCTCAAGTCTCAAGCGAATTTTCTGCGATTCTACGTCGGATCGCGCGACACCTCGAGCGTCGGCCGGACGCTTTCCGACCGGAATACACTTTGCTCCTCGGTCCTTTTCGATCACGCGTCTGCCACTGCGCGAGCCACCCGGGGCTGTGGACCAACTTGAAATTGCTATCAGTTTTCTGAAACTCCGGGTAAACCCTAAACGATCATACTCGTCCGGGCATTTCAATCGGTACGATCGCGCGGTCAAAGGGCCAAACGTGAGAAAAACTTTTGCGACAGAGCGCGTTCGAAAGCAGATCGAAAGCGTGTTCTTGTGTCCAGCCGACTACGTGCCGTACTTACTGGTGCATAACTGTCGGTTATCAAGAAGAATTTCCGTGATCGTTCGTCGTCGTGGCTCTCTCTCTCTCTCTCTCTCTCTCTCTCTCTCTCTCTCTCTCTCTCTCTCTCTCTCTCTCTCTCTCTCTCTCTCTCGAAAGAGAACGCTATTTTAATAAAAATAATTTCTCTCTCTCTCTCTCTCTCTCTCTCTTTCTCTCTTTCGTGTGAGAGAGAGAGAGAGAGAGAGAGAGAGATTATTTTTATTAAAATAGCGTTCTTCATCTCAGCTCTCTACATTACAGTTTCGAATCGCGTGATTGAATCGCCTCGCGGCGATTTTAGGTCTTCCTTTTTTCGCATCTGTTACTTTCTAAATTTCCCCTCTTCTCTCTTTCTCTTTCTTTAAATTAGTTTTGCCGCCTGTATTTGAGCTATTCCCCTCTCGTCGCATGCACTCAACCACCGTCGACTTTGTTAGAATTTCGTGGTAATAGCCGTTGGGTCGTTTCAGAATGTTCGAAAGAAACGCCTCCACCTGTCCGACGCGCGAGCGTTAGCGCGACGACGCTAAAGAGTGCGACTCTGTGCGCGACATTTCGCATCCAGGTGAAAAACGTTCAAACCGACGCTCATTTGTAGTAATCAATCGTCGAAAGAAGAATACGGTCAGTGTATTTCGCAAGCTCTTTTGTGCCTAATGCAACGCGGCACGAGTGGCTTTGAGAATCTACGAGTGCCTTTGCCAATGTATTACATATTTATGAAGAGCACATTTCATCTTCCATATTTTACGAGAAACTCGCATTTACAGATAAGCATTATATCAACTCACACATGAGGCTCTGCACAGAATACTCTGATTAGATCCCCCTTTTGAGAGATTTCCCGAGAGAATCGTTCCAGATGAAACGTAATCTTTGCAAAAATTGCTCGCTGATCGAGCGCCGTTCTCACACACGGCCGAGAGACGCGCTTTTACATTCTCCGTATTAATTGCACTTTCATTTCTTGCATTACGTTAAGATAATCTCGACGTCACGTTCGTCACGCTCGCTCCGAGACTCTCTTTTCCGCGTCTCAATCTCCACTGATGCACCACGCGAAACGAACGTATCTCATTTCCTGCCGACCATCTTCCTATCAATCTGAAAATCCCATTTGTATCCGTTTGGGACGGAGTTCGTCCGACACAGAGAGAGAGAGAGAGAGAGAGAGAGAGAGAGAGAGAGAGAGAGAGAGAGAGAGAGAGAGAGAGAGAGAGAGTCACGCAACAAACGGATGCGAAATTATCGCACAATTACTCTCCGTAACGAAAGAATCGCGAAGCACTCGCGAACACTGTATCCGTCCCGGCGAGATACAGAGAGACGGACCTAATCTCGTCTCGCGAGATTACCCGTCATTAATCACCGCGTCCTAGCCGAAGCGACAAGTTCGTCGCGTACGTCAGCGGCGAGTATCGCGGTATCGACGAAAGTAACGTGACGAGGTCGCGGGGTTCGTCTCGGGAAGAAACGCGGCGAAAGTGATCTTGTCGGCGCGTCACATTGACGCGTAACCAGGACGGGGACGTGTAGTCGTCGAAGATCGATGCGCCTGAAACCGTTCAAAAAAATGACAACAATATATACGGCCAGCCTTTCCCCTCTGCCCCTGTAAAAAACCACGAGGTCGGTCCCGTTGTTGTCTCTCGCAGTGGGAAACGCCGGGCGAGGGGTGGGGGATATGTGTGCTCCGAGGGTGAACGGTATGATAACGTCGAACGCGGGTCGGGCACGCGATGTATCGGTCGACGAAGAGAGGAAAAAATAGGGGGGGGGAGGAGGGGTGGGGGATTGTGAAGGTTGCCCCCGAAAGAATCGAAAGTTTCGTCGAGTCGTGGAGAGATCCGCGGAGGTAGCGTAGCGAGGTTGGAGGAAAGGGTTGGGTGACTCGAGGCTGCTTGCTCGCTCGCTCGCTCGCTCGCTTGCTTGCTTGCTTGCTCGCTTGCTTGCTTGTATGCTTGCTTGCTTGCTCGCTCGCTCGCTCGCTCGCTCGCTCGTTCGCAAGAGTCCGTAGCACGGAGTAGGGGGATACATCGGCGGATCGGGGATAGTACGACGAGGGGATGGAAAGGACGCGACGCGCGCGTAGAGGGGGTACGAGTCCGAGGGTGAGTGGGTTAACTGCAAAACCCGATCGTCCGTGTTTTTATCTTAAGACGACTCTCCTCCGTAGAAGCCGCGCGAGACGAGAAGAAGGGGTTTCTCGTCTCTGGAAGGGATTCCTCCTCGCTGTCGGACTCGCGCTGGAGGGGTTGAAACGGCGGCGGCGGCGGCGGCGGCGGCAGCGGCGGCGGCGTCGGCGGCGGCGTCGGCGGCGTCGGTAGCGTGCGTCGCGAGGGGGTGCAGGAGGGGGCGGTGGTGGTGGCAGGAATGGACCGGCTGGGGGGTGGGTGGGGGGTGATGTTCTCGCTCCTACGAAAGAGTCGGTGGGGATAAGACTACCCTCGGAGGCAGGAGTGCGTTTGCGCCGCCGCCGTGGAGGTGGCATCGGGTGCTAAGGGTTGCTTATTCGCCCTGGTCCCTGGCGGGGGAGGGTGGTCTCTCTCTCGTCCGCTCACGACGGGGGTGGGGAACCCCTCGTCCCCGACTGCAGGGTTAGGGTGGTCTTTAGGTCTGTCAGTAGCAAAGCGGCGGCCTCATCATACGGAGCTGCCGGGGCTGACCAGCGAGGCCGAAATCACTTAAGACGCGTACACCTTGTAATATACCCACCGGTATAGACGCGCGCGCGCGCACCGCTATCCCACCCACACATACACACGTACACACACACATACACGCACACGCACACACACACACGCACACACGCACACGACACGTACACACACGCACACGCCGCGACAACATACAGATACACGCCGCGACACACCGACGCACACCGACATACACCGCACACACCGACCCATGAGACTACCACCGTCGCGCGCGCGCACAACTCGTACACACGCGCGACGCACACGTACCGCATCGGGGAAACGGCGACTGGCCTGCACCGCACGGATCCGCGACTCCACGTACACGTACGCAGGCATCCGGCTTACATGCACGTGTGTACACGTCCGAGGGAGGAGCGCGCACACCCGCCCGCCGATATACACGTACGTCACCTAAGGACACGAAGGACCAAACGGCGTGGAGCTACGCGTCCGCGAACGTCGAGGTGCGCGAGTCCGCTTACGGTGTACCGCGCGGAATCTTCAGTTCGTTGTTAGTCACTCAGAGAGGAGGAGAGAGAGAGAGAGAGAGAGAAAGAAAGAAAGAAAGTGGGAGAGGGAGAGAGAGAGAGAAAGTGTGGCCGACACGGACGACCAAGGAAAGAATCTGATAAGAGAGTGCTCGTGCGCTGTTGGGCTGCTGATACCGTTGCTGAGGTCGCGACATCGTAACGACGACGAGGACGACGACGACGACGACGGCGACGGCGACGGCGACGGCGACGGCGACGACGACGACGACGACGGCGACGGCGACGACGATGGGACTCGCGCGGAAGACAGTGTGATCGCCGCGTTGACATTTCGCGTTTCTTTCTTTCTCTCTCTCGTCGCGATCTCGCAGAAGGATCGCCCGATCGACCGACCAGTGAACAATTGTAGGTGGACTGCAGTGTGCCTGGCGATTAACCGGAGTGAAGCGTCTGAGCGTCGGTCCACGTACGCACGCACGCACGTACGCACGCACGCACGCACGCACGCACCGACCTTCGTCCTTCGCTCTTCGAGAGTGTCTTCGAACAGTCGTGTTCAGCCGACGAACCCGCGCTACTACGACGCGTATCGATTCCACGATCGTCGTCGCGCCTCCGACGCACCGTTCGTGACTCAGTGTGACACGTGTGTTTATCTCGGGGATAACGTGGTCGCATCGCAGACAAGGTAAAGTTACGTGACACCGGTGCACTCTCCTTATGTTGTGTCCGAGCGATCTACAGTGATTTCACGTGTGCCGTCCCGCAGGTCGACGAGACGATCGAGATCGTCGTCGATTTGCGCTTGCTGTTGTGCATTCACACCGATAATACGGATATTACGGGGGAAAGAGAGGCAGAGAGAAAGAGACACGAAGAGAGGAGGGGGGAGGGAGAGAGAGAGAGAGAGAGAGAGAGAGAGAGAGAGAGCGGTCGTACTACACATCGGCGATACCGATCGCGAGCTTTTCTCGCGAGGACAAGGAGAACCCCGGACCGCGCGAGATCCGCACGAGGAAAGTCGCGCGAGGACGCGACGAAACCGCCAACGTCCGACAACGTTTCTTTCGCGTACGTCCCGGCCTTTCTTCTCTCTTTGGCCGAGTTTAGTGCGACGAGAAGGTCGTCGACGTTGCGTGCACCCGCAGCGATACGCGGGGGTGTAACGCATATGTAAACGCGTTCACGACCCCCGCCGTTGTAGCGCGCGCGAGGCGTACTTGGCGGCTCCCTGATTTAGTTTCGAGTCGCGGGCGGGTTCGTGATTAATGATGGACGCGGCTTTAAATTAGTACGACAACGTGATATTAAATTAGCGGATAATTCGATACGGAATATAATACGCGCGGTATCGGTATCGCCAAGTGTCGGGATGAAATTTGATTCGGTCGAATGGCGAGGTTATCGATGAGCGCCGAGTGGAAATCATATTTTCGAGGTCCATCAACGTAATTTTAATGCGCTATTCTTTATGAGGTGTATAAAATGTGTGTGGCCGACCGTGTGCGCGCTCTAGATGGCATGCCGATTTCCGAAACGGGTGAACGCGCGCCCCGGTGATGTTTAAAAAACCAAGTTCGTTCTCTCTCTCTCTCTCTCTCTCTCTCTCTCTCTCGCTCGCTCGCTCGCTCGCTCACCCTCTTCCTCTCTCTCTTCCTCTCTCACTCACTCTCTCTCCCTCTGTCCGGTGGGGTGACGCTGAAAAGAGCTGCGATTCGTATTATCCGGTGGTGTTTAATTGAGATTTAATTGACCCCTCCATTATTCATCGCGATTGTCAATGCGCGGCTTATGCGGTGTGTGCTACCAGTGTTTCGCTTTCGTTCGCTCATATCATTGTTACGAAATACAATTTATGCTTTTTTGCTTTTGGTTGCATTTTATTTATTTCGATCCCTCGACTCTCCCCCCGACCCTGCATCCTTTCGCGTCTCATCTCAGCGCCGTTGCGAGCTCTCGTCGTGCGACAACGACGTAACCGTATGCGATTGCAGGCGAAATTCAAGAGAACTTTCGAGAAACGCGACTCTCTCGTTCTCTCTCGCTCTGTTGGCACGACGAAAGCTCGCACGATCCTCCGCAGTCCTCCCGAGTCCTCTCCGCTAACTTATGTTTCATTTCACACAGTGGTCCGTCGTAGGAGACACGGCGGAGTGCGACGGCGACGCTTTGGATAAAACACGAGATTCCTTTGCGAGAGGTGCTTACATCGCGATATGCCAACGTGCGGATGTCAAATTGAGTGCGTAATGCGTCACGAGCGTGTACGGCTGAGTGCGCTCCCGGCGCGATCGCGTGATTTTATTGCGCGCCGCGCCGCCTCCGTCGGGAGTCCTCCGGCGGTCTCGATTTTCGACGTCGCGTTTATATCCACTCTCTGTTTTCTGTCGTCAAGAACATTCCTTGCTGGCTGCCCGATAATGCTCTCATCTAA